GGCTTTTTTGATCGGCGCTTTTGGGGTTCGCCGATCAAGCTATTTTTAGCCAATATCGGCCGATCATGATCGGTGGCCGATCAATCGGAGCATCACTAGTCTAAATGTATTTTTACTGTCTAAATATATGTATTCAGCTAGTGTAAACATGCAGGATGCTATCACAGCGATCGCGAGGCTGAGACTGAAGCGTCACCCTTTGTTTCCGCTGAGAGACGTGCTGCGTGACTCAATTCCCCACGCATACAAGTTATCTTAGGTCGGCGTTCACGGTTTCACTTCTCAGATTCAGATCGAGTTCTAGGTAATTTCTTTTCAAACTGGTTGGTTCGACTTTTAAGAAATTCGAGTTCTAATGAGTTCGAGAACTGAGGTACCACTGTACATACTGAATTTATCCTAAGTAATCAAATTAACACATGAATTCTGGTGCCACACCAGGATGCCAAGCAATTGGAATCACCAGGGGTTTAGCATGATGGAACCAACACCACATTGGCCACCATGAACAAAAGGCTGTGCTGTGGATGGATGGGACCCTGCACCATCAGACGGCAGTCTCACCTCCGCACCACCTCCTTCCATCCCTCCTCTCTTTTCTGGCCCCTTTTGGGGCTAGTCAGGTTGATCTTGCTGTTGGGTGAGGACACCGGCAGTGAAATGGTCTTGAATGTGGAGGGGATGTTTGGAGTCAAGTCATTTATGCTGTCTTGCATTCTGAAGGGAGAAACACAGCAGATCACTGAAGTTGTTATTTTTTTTTCATCTTGCATCTACCAAAGTCAGTATATGAAATCTGTCGGGCTGCTTTGGTCTTAATTCATCTAGAAGTGAGGTTGGACTTCTTAGCTTAGCTCAAGGGTGTCAAGAACCACCAGTGAATTTGAGAGCTGAACAAGAGCCGGCAGCATTTTTCTGACCTTTAACTGTCATCAGCGATGTACTTTATCATATCACACCTCTTGTTTTTGTTAATGGGCCATTGCATTAGCCTATAGTTTGCCCATCAAGAAAACAATGGGACAGTCAATAATCCTCACTGCGGCAGTCAATGTCACCCCCAGATAGATGAAAACTCATAAATAATCATGTTTATGTCATGTTTTTGTGCTCATTGATTTAAGTATTGGTTTTGATAGATATCAATAGAAATGAATTTTAATCCCACACCCATAATAAAACAAAAACCTAATTTTAACAGAATGGCAAGCCACTTCACCCGAAAACAGTGCATTTTACTTATCATTTCAAGCAAAAATGTACATTTTTTAACATTTTTTCATCTGGGTTGATGTGTTTAAAAAATATTCAAAAGTGGAAACTTTGAAACGTGAAATTACCAAACATCTATTTATCCAACATTTTATAAAATACAGTCTGTGCTTGAAAACTTTTCAGCTTTACGATTTCATGATGGAGCCTCCAGTCAGTCTTTTTGGTTAAGGGTGTTAGAGCTGCTGCTGTTCAGCACAAACAATAGGGCTGCATATACTGAAGTATATCTTGCTTGGTGGTTAAAAGAGTTTGACATTCATAGGCATGGGAAACAGCGGTTCTAGTGCTAACAGTGTACCATACACCTTGCACTTATTTGGTTGAAATCTATGCATAAATAGCTTTACAAATGTCAAATTTGTAAATATTATTCCTGAAATTTTTTTTAATAAAACTGAACAATGATATACAAAATGTCTCTGAAGGTATAAAATTAAATCAAATGCGTCCACTATTCCCATTAACCATCTGCTTTTATCTGACGTTAAGAAATGGATCCTCCTAAATGAGAAACAGGCCCAAGTTCAGTCCCAAAAAAATCAAATCAACCAGAAAGGTCTAGTGCAAGTTAGAACCAGACTGTCCCTACTACCCAGGTAGCTGTAACAGAACACATACTCCTCACGTGTCCATCAATTTCATCATTTTCTATTTCAAATGGATAATGAAACAAATTAATACATTTCTTGACATGGACAGAACCTAAATTTACAAGTAGATGTTATGAAACCATTATGCCATTAAGTAACCATTTTACTGAAATAAAGGTAGCTGATTATGAGAAAGACCTTGGTGTGTATGT